TACAAACCAAGAGAAAACATTATACTACAATGATAAGTAGCCTTAAAAATTAGAAGCTTATAGAACTCACTCATCTTAGGTTCCCAACACTATCTAAGGACAAAAGCATATTTGACACAAAATAATGATAGAAAGCATTGATCAGGTCACAATCTTGAACCTTGAGACAATTTCATATATGAAACAGAATTATTTTAAGCAAACTGATAGACCAAGTAAAGTAAAAAATTAGCAACCTCAAACCAGTTATTCAAAACCTTCGAAGCTGGAGCGAGTAAAAGGTCCATCAAGTCCCTGAAAAGTCCAGTGGAAACAATTAAACATGGACTATGACAGTTGAAGTCGAGACTTCATACTATTTGAGTAGATGTTGCCCTAGTATGTCCAGTTGATAACAATAGGTTTGGTGAAATTATGCAAACAGGACCATCTAGAACATCTTACACTAGGTCCTTTTGTCCCAAGTGGAGTGCTCGACGGAGACAATTAGCCCAAAACGCTGAATTACGCAATTTGTGCTTCATACGAGTATTGAGTTGTGAAGAGCCTTGTAGAGTTTCTGGTGTAGACGAATCCAGAAGTGGGTCCATGAACTCGCAGAACTTGTCGAGTTGACTCTCATACCTACAATTAGGTGGCACTTGGTAACTCAAAAATTTAGAGTATGATAGTAATAGATAAAATGATGAGCAGAAAGAAATATATGAATTCTCATTCAGACTTTAGGGTGCTAAGTGAGCTCAATCCTCAAATTCTGCTAAATTATCATCAAGTTCCATGCCTGGAAATTTTTGGCAGGGAACTTATTTTTTCTTCCCGTTAAGTTAGCAGGCGAAGAACCCTTGGGTTCTCCATCTTGAGTATGTCAATCTTGAAAGTGTCAAGAACAATGAACACATTAAATTTCAGTATTGAAGAAAGGTGAACCAGATTCCAGTGATATGGACACGAGCTACATGCCGTATCTATTTTCCAATCATAGACATGATCAGAGCTTAACTGAAGCATTCTCAATGATGTATATGAGTTAATCCACCACACAAATGGCTGTACACCTATGTATCTCCATCTTATAGTCTAGTTCACCTCAGCACTGTTGCATTTAATCGCCTTAAAATAATCAAATGCTTTTTCGACAAAATGAATTGCTCAAGGTTCAATTCTCGTGTAGAAAAACATGGTTATTTAACCTCTTTGTCTTTTAAAATAAAATTGCAGCAAACAAAGTTGCCAGAGAATACATAAAGTTGAAGTAACGACCAGTATAAAAATAAATACTGAACCTTGAGTAAGCATCAGCATCAGATTTAGAAAACTTTGAAATCTCAGAATAGTTCTGCTCCTTGTCAGAACCAAGCAGAAGATAGCGTCCGTCAAGACGAGGCGTGAATGATGAAGGACTCCTTTTCAGTAGCTTCAATCCATGTCTCTTCAGCTCCAATTCTCTATTAATCATAACGCATCCTCAATAATTGAAGAAAAATAAATCAATGCTAACAATAAATCATTGCAATAATTAGGTCTCACTTAATAACGCAGGGTCTAAGGAGGCTTTGTAGGTAACTGCAACGAGAAAACTTGAAACCGGGAATGAGTTCTTCAGTGACAGCAGCACCTCCTATGATGTGGCGCCTCTCGAGAACGGCAACAGAGAGACCGGAACGAGCGAGATACGCGGCAGCTGTAAGGCCGTTGTGACCACCGCCGATGATCAGAGCATCCCATTTCTTCTCTTTCGCATTGAAGCTGCTGTTACTGCTAAATTTTCGGACCTGTCTCCACATTTTTGAACTTTTTTTTTTTTTGCCTAATCTCTGATTTTAACACTAGCAACTCTTTGAACAGGGAATAGGGAATCTATCCGAGCTTCAACACTGGTTACTCTGGGAGCTTGCTTGGCCTTTTCCCTCCTTTATCTAGTATAAAATAAAAAATTAAAATAATAAAAAGAAATATATATATTTCTATATATAGTCGTACATTATAAATAGTACTCTTATTTGAAACCTTTTAGATTAAAGAAAATCAACTAATTGAGGGAAAGGAGCACGGAAGGAAAATGAATATTAAGAAATTGTTATCTAGAGAAAATGTCATAAATAATTTTTTAATTATATGTTTAGGCTTAAAATGATATTTTCTTAATCATTCTTTTAATGGATTTAATTCAAAACTGTTTAAAAACTTATCAAACAAATTTAGTCACTTAAATATATATTTATTCATTTTAGTCATTAACTATATATTTATCGATTTTAATTTTTAAAATATTTAAAGACACAAATTTGGTTTCTGTTTTTTTGGCTTAAATAATCTGTAGCCTTTAAAATTATTCGGATAATTCACTTAGACATTTTAATTATTTTTATTTAAAACTTATTCCTATTAAACTGTGATGTAGCAAAAGACAATGACTAATTAAAAGATAATATGATGTGTAGGGCCCAACAATTATAGAAGAAAAAAGAATTTTATGTTAAAAAGAATAAATAAATTTTCCATCTACTTTTTTTTTAAAAAAAAAAAATGAGAAACTCACCCTACCTCAACTCCTTTTTTTCTTCATTTTCTTTCTAATAAGATTTTCTTTCTCGAACGATAAAATTTAATTTCTTTGTTAATTGTTTTTATAATTATTTTTTATTCCTAATACGTGAGAGAAAATTATATTCAAAGAAACTGATAGTAGAGTGATGAAGAAAGAAAGTTTGTCAATCGTCTTTAAATCCATAGTAAATAAAAATCGAAAGGACCTAAATTAATTTTATTGAATCAATTGAATATTATTTTTGATAATTTTAATGGGTTCACATTTTAATTTGAATAATAATATTTGTTCGAATATGATCGAGATGAACATCGATCCGTTAATTTTTTTTGTTCTCTCTTTCTTTTTTTTCCTTCAAATTCATTTTGTTGATTGAATTTTTATTGTTTTTAATAAATATTTAAATGAGATAGAATATAAAAAGAAAAAAAATGGTGTGCGGACTTCTTGGTGAAGAAGACGACTTGAAAAAGGAGCGGGGTGGGATAGTTTTTTTTTTTTTAAAAAAAGATAAAATAATATTTAAGGTTTTTTCACACGCTCAACTGAAGTGAAAATACTTCTTTTGCTACATCAATATTTTGTGTTTAATAGGTATATTTTTTGAACTTTTTAGGTGTTTAATAGGTAATAGTCATAGTTGAGATGTCTATGTGAAATATGGAAACAACTTTAAGGAGCTGCAAATGACTTAACCTATTTTTTTAATATACAAATAACTTAAGTTTATATAGTAGAATCTACCATGTCTCGAGAAATTAAATTGTTTAGCCATTTTCCAACTGTTTCTACTTTTACTTCATATTATCCTATTAAAAGAACCTTAACCTCGACAATTCAAAATAAAATTCACAAGAAAAAAAATATAAGTCATAATTTTATTTAGCAAACGATAAAATGAATTAGTACTAATAATCTGAATATGCTAAACTTTATTATAAAAAGAAAAACATTATTACCCATTTAATTCAAAAATTGTACTCCAAATGACTTTATTAAAGGGAATTTGTTTAATTTTTGAGAACTTGAAATTTATAAAATTACAGGTTTGTAACTTTTTTTAGTTGTTCTTTTAAATAGATTGATTATATTGTTCTATTTATTTTGTTTTTTGTAGAGAAATTTGAGTAAAAAGTGCAAATCTCTTATTTTTCTTTTGAATGAAAAATAAGTTTAACAAAATTCGGGTTGATTATGAGTTGTTAACGGTCAAAGAAGGGAACACAACATATTCAAGTCATAGCAACAATTATATGCTTCATTTTATTATCCATTGAATAAAATTGGGATTTATATATTCTTTTTTTGGTGATTTTATTTTGAATCGTTGAGGTTATTGTTCTTTTTATAAGAGTATTTTGAAGAAAAAATAGCAGAAATAAATAAACAACTTTAAAAAATGGGTTGAAGATTTAATTTCACTAAGAGTTTCGTCAATATAAATTTAAGCTATTTGTATAAAAAGAAACATGGACAAAGACCAAATGTGATAAACTTAAAGGACTAAATTCGTAAGTGTATATTAAGAGACCAAAGATAATAAGGTTTTTTGAATATTTAAAAGACTAAAATAGTTGAGGGATCAAAACTTATAAATTTCTAAATAGTTAAAGGACAAAATCCAACAAAAATATAGTTAAGAGACCATATTAGACCTACTTTTATAGTTAAGAGACTATTTATGACATTATCTCGTATTAACAATATAGAAATTATTTACAATTTAGGCATTTATGAATTAAGGATTAATTTTTATGATAAATATTAAGTTTAAAATTTAATAAATACTATAATCAATCGGTTATGCCTAGTGCGATAATTAAAATATTTTTATCAATCAACAATTTAGACTTGAGATTAAATTTAGACCCTTTTAAGTATGTGAAGACAATAACTAGACTTGGGATTAAATTTAGACCCTTTGAACATGCGGAGACGATCAACGAGTAAGCATGTGAGGACAATCAATGAGACCATCCTATTAATGACTAATCAAACAAAACATTATTCATCGAAAATTTTGTTGTGATTACCATCAATGTAAATATTAAATGATGTTTCTTCTTTTTACATAAAAAAAAAATTATTCCGAGCTTCAAAACTTAATAGTCTCTTCAACTATTATCAACCGGAAGCCACTCTCCGGGGAAAAATAACCAGTGGTGCATAAGTTTACTGACTACTTATTACTATTAGTTTTCCATTTGTTTTTCTTTTCTTCTATTTATGCTATTGAATTACTGAGAAACTTTGATTGGGTAATGAAATAAGTGTTTGGTGGTTGTTTTTTTGTGTTTGACAAAACCACATATATCCAAATTGCTGGATAGTATTTAATTTGTGATTTACATACGTATACCATACTTATAAATTATAGTTTGTAAATTTCATATAACGTTATGATAAAACAAAGTGTAAATTCTTGGTAAAAAAATAATTACGTTTCAAAACAGGCAGAGAATATGAACCTCTTTAATTATACTAAAATTGCAAAATTTTGATCAGGTAACTCAAGGAATGCCATTAAAGGAAAAAAACAAAAAACAAAAGAGAACTGAAATATTAATAAAATTGATCAAAAGCTACATATGCGTGAGTCATGTCCGATCGAATCGCTAATGATTCTCCTCTGCGGGCAGCCATTGAATGGTCGCAGAACTTTCCCAGCCTTTTAAGCTTATGAACTTGCTTTCGAAAATTTTCAACCTTCTGTTACAAACCAACAACACCAATTTCAAACGAACGAAAAAACAAAATAGTAGCTGCTGTTTTTGAAGCCAAAATGTAGATGTACCTCGTCAATCGTATTTTTGAAGCAAACCTTGTGATCAGCCATAGGGGTATTCACAAAATCCTTCAAATTGCTCATAAAGCCACCATCAATGGACTTCTTCCATCCACAAGAAGTTACAGCAGCATTAGCAGATACATCTTGCCCTTTTCCTGCTTCCAATTCCAATTCCATTGCTTCGATTCTTAAATACCTATTGCAAAATACAATAATAATGTAACTAAAAAAAAAGCTAATAATACCGGTGAAATTTATCGTTAATGATCACTTGTATTTATAGATAACTAAAATATTGGACAGGAAATTAAAATTCGACTTGTTTAGCAAGAAAAGATGGCGGGATTAGCTTGAGAAGGAAGTTAGGCTATTTCTGTTCGACATTAACGAAAAGAGAAAGGATTTTTTTTTTTTACCGTTTTCCCCAAGTAATGTGATTTTATTTTGGAAAAATGACACAAATTCCACATTTAAACTCTCTTATTATCATTATCCCCTATTATTTTTTTTATAGATTCTCAAAATCTCTTATTTCACACATCAGGTTAATGTATCAACGTATCAAATTAATGTATCTCGAACATCATATTAATGTATCTCGCGTATCAGACGAATGTATCATATATAAAATGTACCTCAAATTGGTGTGTTATGTATAGAATGTGATGCATCTTACTTAACGATTAGTGTATCTCGCGCATCATATTATGTTTATTGTATCAGTTTGAGAAATTTCTATAATTAAAAATTATAAAAAACAATTGATAATTTACCTTAAAAGTACGTGATTTATGTCTTTTTTCTTTCTTTATTTTTTATAAGTTTAAGTTCCAGTATTAGAAGTACACAATATATAGGTCTTTGAGTTTTTAAAATTGACGCATCTTTCAGATATAAAGGGTTTGAATACATTATTTTGATAATTGGGGACGGCAACTGCTAGTCCGGAAATCACAGGGGTCAAAATCAAAGTTATGCTAAAAACACAATGAATACACGTAATACAATGATCTTAGATGAATTTGTTTAATTAAAGGTTAATATGTCGTTTTTTTCAATAAGTAAAAAAAAGAGTCAATTCGCTATTAGAAAGAATATCATAGGGAAAAGGAACTTAATTTCTTGTTTTCTTTAGGAAATTATTATAGGCAAAACATATTAAAAATTTAACTTACAATAATTGTAGTTTTACATCCAAAGTAATTCGGAAATTGGAAATCAAAATCGAAAAGGAAAAAGAAATGTTGATGACTATATATATAAAGCAGAAATAAATTCCTAACCCAACACAAAAACAATTTTAAAGAATCAACCCTAGCCTTTTGTCTCTATAAATACGAAAGGTGAAGCTCAACTTTTCATAATTAATTTTAAAGCTTGCATTAGTTTAATTAATTAATTTCATCAAATCATGGAGCCATCCACTTATAGCGAAATTCACGTGTCTCCTGAAATTGTTTATGCTATAGGAGATAGTCCAGTTGACGATTTTAACTTGTCAATTAATGTAATTGTCAAATATGCTTACAATAATGGTGAGAACACTTTGGAAGAGTTCAATTGTGAGAATACATGTTCTTGCAAGTACAAATCATTATCATGGGATAAAATTGATGAAATGCTTTTGGGAACTAATTTTCCTTATCAATTAGAAAGGGTTAAGTGGATTAATCGTACTGAGAATATATTAGTAGCTAACAAGGATGATTTAATCAAACAAATTTTGGAATACACTCATCACAACATTGTTACATATCCTCCACAAGAATATTTGGATGAAATTATTGTAAACCTGATATTTGTCAAGCAAATATCTGTAAATCTGCGAGAATTTGAACTTATAAAAGCAAGGATTGTTGCAGCAGATAGAGAATATTTTGCGGATTTACTTTGGAAATCAGTACATGACAAGATCATGAGAGTGGAACAACGAGGATCATCGTCTTTATACGAAGAATATAAATGTATAGAATATTTCATAGAAAATATTGTGAATGGCATATCTGTGCGGAGCATGTGTTATGATGAGAATTACGAAAGGGAATTGAAAGAGTCTTTTATTGAGCAAGCTAGGAAGGAGTTTAGGTCATTACCTGTCGTAAGATCGAAGATTCAATTTTTAAAGAAAGTAAGTTTGTCAAAAAACCATGATGATGCACTGACTGCAGAGATATCATGTTCCATATGCATGGAGAATTATTTACCTGATTCAGAAGCATACAACATGCCTTGCAACCACAATTTTCATTTTAACTGCATTGAGACATGGATTCTTAAAGATCCAAGTTGCCCTATGTGTCGTTACGAGTTGCCAGCGATGGAGACTTCAGAGACAAAGCTAGAAGTTTGAGTTTATGACTTATGAATTTATAATGGACAACTCATAAAACACATGCTTCGCAGAGATATACCAAAAATTAAGTTTTGTCAAAAATATATCATTGTTTGTAGCAAAAATATTCTATTATTGAAGTTATTAATAGGGTCTTGGCAGTAGGCACTAGGCACCCAACAATTTCTATTTTCGTGTAGACAAAAACATCGTATATTGCTACAAAATACTTATATTCCTAATGGATGATTGAAAATTATACCAATTTGCATGCAGGGATGGCTTCTGATAACATTAACAAACTATTACTTTATAAAAACATGGAGAAAAATAGTATTCTACTTTCGTGCACCACAGATTTACTCATACGTATATTGCTTCATATTCCGAGCGTTCTCTGACTACATTAACACACTTTTTTTACGTTATAAAAACACTGATGAAATTTAACAAAAAATATTTATAGAAGCATAGTACAATCTGGATATAAAGACCACAAATTCATCAACACCGTCCATCACTTATTTGTAGCATTTGAAAGGATGAAAAAAGTTGATACAAAAACTGTCATTGAGATGTTTAGCAACTTCCGTGACCAAGGTAAAAGATCTTCAACTCCTCTAACTTTTAAAAATACCAAAGCAGTCAGAAAACAAAATTACATTAGGAAATTACAAATAGGAAAGATAATTAAAGGAAAATTGTCTAGCATCATAAAAAGTACCAAGCCCAAGAAAGAACCATGATTAATGGGTTCTCATTTTGATTTCTTTCCCTGCTTCTTTTTTATCACTTCATCAATGTACATAATACCTTTGCCCTTGTAAACTTCAGGAGGTTTACAGCTCCTTACAGAGGCAGCAAATTGGTGTACCCTATACTTGTCAATCCCAGTGCAGCAAACCACATTGGGTTTGAAACAGAAGACACGAACTGCAGGAGGCACGGTCAGTTCAACCTCATGGCTGTAACCCAGCTTAAGGTACAAGAGACGACCTTCTGATTCTGCCCTAGCCTTGAAACCAACTCCAACAATCTTGAGAAAGCGGAAGAATTTAGCTTCCATTGGATGACTTTTATCAATCAGCTGAAATAGGAGATGACATGACAAAAGCTACATTACTAGGCCAAACAAGAAAAAGACCTTGACAATAATACAACCGTAACATGCCAAATAAGAAAAACACCTAGACAATAATATAACAGCAGCAAATTTCAGTTTCAAAAAAAAAAAATCAGTTTCAAAAGATAATACAACAGCAACATTCTTTTTCCACTATCGGAGACAAACCTGCCAAGTATTAATTCTAAAGTTAGGACATCTAATATAATGGTTTGTGACTAATACTCGGGAAAAACAACCACAACAGTAGAGAAGGAAATGCAATGCCACTTTGTGACTGAAAATCTGACTAGTCTCTTGGCTACACAAAGGAAAACTGCTCAAGGAAGGGAAGAAAACTAAATTGATTTTACTTCTTTTTTTTCTTTTTGATAATCATGGTGTCCAGACCAACTTGTGTACATCTCGACTGATTCCACGGGATACATATTACCTTCTACCAGCAACATGTACTAGTAACTATGTCACGAAGGCTAAACATATGGGAATAAATCACATAGGTTTTTTGTCTCTGCTGGGCTAGTATTTGAACCTAAGACCTTGTGGTGCTCAACCCACTTCATTGACAACTAGGCTGTCCCTTGGGTGTGCAAAGTGATTTTCCTTTTTGATCCAAAAATGGGGGAAGATTTTGTTTTCAAGAAATAAATGACAAATACAGATAATTAACTCATAAAATCAATTCAGACAGTTTGTTTTCACTTCTGAATAGTTTGTCTAAGCACTTTTACACTCTTCTTCAGCATAATTTGCTTTCAGTAGCTCCAGGGACTAATTTCAGTTTTCCTTATCCGATGGAGAGATGGCGGAAGAAGAACCACAGGCACTGGCCAACAAGAACAACAACTCACGCAGTGTAATTCACAAGTGGTATCTGGCCTGGGGAGGGGAGAGTGTATGCCATTACACCTACCTTAGGAGGTAGACAGGTTGTTTCTGATAGACCCTAGACTCGAACCGAGCATATTGCATTATTCCTTTCACTGGCAACATATGTTCATTAAGAATTTTTTAAATGTCTTTAGCAAGAAAATCAATTCAAATTTCATTAGTACCAACAGGTGAAGCAGATCTTTCGTTCTACTACTAAATGAAAAGAACTGGACCACTTTTAAAATGACTCTGATATAATCTTTGAAAATTGGCTGATGACTAATTTTAAAATAAGATTAACAATTAAAGCATGTGCATATAATCAACCTATTGTTATGCTTTGTTGTACTCTAGCAGGAGCATGTCCTCCATAGAAACTGTATCCATGTTTGTTTGTTTTCTAACATAAGTAACTGTTAAATTGTATCCATGTTTTTATTCTTCTTTTTTTTTTGAAAATGGTAATGGTGTATTCTTCAGTATTACCATGTTTTTATTCTTTATTACCATGGAATAGCATCATGCTTAATTTCTCACCTATTAGCATGTCAACTTGCTCAATAACTCTCCATCATTCTTTGAGTTTCACAAGCAGGTGGTTGATTTACAATCTATGATCAGTAGATTTTATGTAGTTCACACTTCAGGGGAACTGGGAACAAGCAGGGGTTTCTTCTGATGTGGATATGTAATATAATGAAGGGTAAAGGGGTAAAATTAACTCCTACAATTAGATATATGACCAATTAAAAAACTCAAATGATGAGCAACAACAACCATTCCTAAACCTTCTCAAGATGCAAAGAATAGCTAATTAGGAAAATGAAAACCAAAATCGAAAAAGAAAAAGAACGGTTTAAGAGCTAGTCTAAGAGGAATTGGTTGTTGATCTTCAAGTATTACAGATTATGCCGATTCTAAATCAGCATTTTGTGTTTCGCAAACTTGTTTAAGTCAGCAGAAATAACATTTACCAAACCCCCAGGAGCAGTCATGAGTTCAGCTAACTTGCCAATGAGTGGAGCAGGGACTTATTCGACCACTACGAATAAATTGTTATCCCATACTCTCACTTCAGAAGCGTAATATTCAAATAAATTCATTAAGGGATTTCTTCTAGCGGCATGATGGCATGACAATCGCCTGAGACGTAACTATGATTATCACTCACCAAAACAGTCAGTAACTGTCTACTGAAAACAACAAAATCACACAAAACTAGAAAAGAAGCCTAGTGAAGATTGACTTTTCTGGCGGAAATAACAATCTCATTTCAGAAACATCACATTAAAAATGAATTTCATCGAACACCTCATATGCATGACAATTTTCAGATATTAATTAAAGACAAAACCTAAGCAAATAACGAGCAATTCATTTCGATGAGAAAGAGGAGAAACTAATAAGAATGAGAACAACAGCATACCAGGCTTTCTCTGTATCGCTACCTCAGCAAACCTAAAAACCGCCGGAGATCCGCAGTTCACCGGTCAGTGGAGCTTTCCGAGGGCTCTGTTCGTCAACACAAGAAATTAAAAAAGTTGGGCCTAAGAGAAGGTATGAGACCAAAAGCCCACTTAGAAAATAATAGAGTAATCCTTTCATTGTCTTTGTTTTCCTTTTTAATCCTTTTCAAAACGAATACGTTTTCTTTTAATGATTATTCTTTTCTTCTTTTTTTTAATTTTTTAATTTTTTTTTTAAACATGACACTTTAACAACATAGTATATTTAGACATACTCTTAATTCAAAACTTTAAAATTTAAAATATTATTTATTTTTCAAAATTTTATATCAAATTAAATAAGACAAGTAATTAAATGAAGGGAGCAGTATTTGTGGGTACTATATATTGCTACGGAAACCAAAAAAAAATCACAAAAAAGTTTCTCTTGTAAAAACTAAAGCAAAATAAGACGAGAAATATAAAAAAAATGATAGCAATAGAAATAGGGAGACAAGATATGAGAGTTTTTCTTATTCAAGCATTCACCAAACTTTCAAGTGTATACAATATGAACTCTTGTGCCTCTATTTATAGTGTAGCATAGAGACATACAAAAGTTTAATCATAAACATGACATTAACATGAATATAATGGGGGAGGTTATGAAAGTGAAATGTTACAAGAGTAATGATTATGAAATTGGAGATTATGATTGTCTTCATAATGGAGGAGGTTATAACCGTTTCAAAGTATTTTATTTTAGTAATTTAGAGACTTATCTCTGGTTTCAGGCCATGATCTCTCTTGTGATTTATGGTATTCTGTCTACCTTTTTAATTTTTATTTTATTCTACATGATTTAACATATTTGCCCTTCTTAATATCATAGTTAGTCTCTTTCAATTATGGGATATTATTAAAATGACCTGCAGTCCCAATCAATATCAACAATATATTCAGTATAATTCTACAAGTTGGATACGAGTAAAATAAAGTATACACACATTATTGTACCTCGCGAAGATAGGAATATTACCATGGAAAAAAGAAACAAAAAGGAAGTTGAAAAAAGTTCCCCACTTTCTACTGATTAAAATTTTTACCATATATATGTTCGTCTATATAAGAAGAATATTTCATTCTATAAGTGAACTAGTCTTTTTCACTTTGGTGGAGAATATTTTTCTTGGAGGAAATATATTTCGAAATTCAAGATAAACAAACACTGAAAACAATTTCATCAGGAAAACTTTTGCGATACCGAACACTAGCTTACATTCCGTACAAAGAGAAGTATCTCTCATAAAAATGTTTTCTTGTGCAGAATATTTACCTTATTGAATCAATTTCCAAGTTGTAAGAGTATCAAAATCTTTCCTGATCACGATGTTTACATCAAATCAAATAATTTAACAGTGATAATGAAAGAAGAATGTCTTTCAGCCAGTATTTCCTTTCGTGCATGTTTCCAATGTTCACTTCAGAAAGACAAGTTTATAAACTCAAAAATCTAGTAATCAAGTACATTTCAGGAGAGGTGATCGAAAGGATATTTATTCACTTGTGGAATTCCAGCAGCTAGAGGGCTTCTTCGATAAGTTTTTCAGTGAGATTTCTTGGGAGTCCCATAACACTGTCAGCAGTTCCAATCTACAAAGTATTGGGAAGTAACAGTATAAACAACAGGTCAGTAATCGGCAGTTCCAAGCTTCAAAGAGAGGGTGAGAGAGAGAGAGAGGGAGACGAACCAGAGTGTCAACAAAGGGCAGCGTCAATGGATGTTCAAGCATTAAGCCACCAGCAACATTAAGTATTATTCCCTCCTCAATCTATACAAATGTACTAATAGTTAATGTTGCAGGTAAAGAACATCCCCTATTTAAGAACAGAGTCATATTTACCAGGCTGTCAATAATCTCATCAGGTATGTCATGGAAATATACCTGCAATTAGGCAGAAGAACAATTTACTCCATGTTAAACAATCACAGTTGTATAATTGTGTAATACTCCATATTACACCATTGCACTAATAGTTAAGTCAGCAAGAAGGTTTCCGAGAAAATCATGTTGCACCACACCATCAAGAAAGAACAAATTCATAATAGTAACAAAAGGAGGGCTTAGAGAAGATCAGACAAGCTAACTAATAAACTGAGAGCTGTGAGGCAATTGTATTGGTGTTCTGATAAGCAGATAAAAGGGGAAGCATTCTCGACATCCTTACAAACTGGTATGGTCAGTAAAAAGAAGTCTTGGGAAACAAATTCATGGGTGGAGACTGGAGAGAGTAATGTTGATGGGCTGTAATGAACCAGATTCCATCCACATTCACCCTCTTTCTGCCCTTCACATAAAGATGTAAATACACCAGTTTTCATCAGCATTCACTCTTTCCTGCCTTCGTAATACGAAACAAAAGATCTCTGCACTTCCAGTTTGACAGTATTGAGTAGTACAACTGTAACAACAACCATTCTGATCATACTTGACAGGATTAAGATGGTTCAAAGATCATGATGGTGAGGTAATAGCAGATACAATTCTCTATGCCAAAGCCTAGCAGCGATGAAAATTTAGAAACCTAAGCAATTTTCAAAAAATACTCCCTTGTTATGCCTGGAGTTGTAATGCTCACGTGTGCTAAATAGAAATCAGTCTATTCATAGTCTCTCTCCATTATTGACTCAACTTGTGCCTCTGTTTAAATTAGTAGATAAGTCAAGGTTAAGGTCTCTTTCCACTCATAGACTTATGAATAAGCCTACAACAGTCACATCAATTACCGGTAATTTTGAGGCTCCAATATTATACCAGAGACCCAGTAATTCATGTATTCTAATGATCCCAACATTCAAAGACCTATGCCGAATTTCAAGGATGAAATTAATGTCACAATTCACAAATAGAAACCGGAAAGGAATTTTTCTGCAAGAACTCCACTTGTAAACTATGGTTATTCATATTGGCATAAGGAAAGTTGGTAAAATCAGGCAATTGAGCTCTTCCTTGTTGCAGTCTAATTTAGCAAAGAATGTACGTTCTCTTTATTTAAAGTCTCGCACACGGTGAATATAACTATAAAATAATCCTTCTAGTTTCTGAAAAAAAAAATCATTTGTAAGGATGGGGATCAAATAAGCTCAAAGTCACAGGCCGGGATAAGCATATACTTATTCAAATATCTATTATCAGATACCTGACATATCTTCGAAATGTCACATCACCTTAATCCTCACCACCACATCACATACACTTATGCATCAGATGTTTTTAAGCCTATTCACCATTGGAACATATCAACTTAAGTAAAAATGTACTATATAAATGCATAGTTGTATTTCAATAGTCTCCATCATGTAGGAATTACTTCATATGGAGTAAAAGATATACCTCGGACCTTTCCCAAGCTCCTTTTCTTATCCCCTTTGTAAGGTTGGTCACAACAACAGATCCTACAACTGTGGCTTGACCACCAGAATAACCTGCAATTCATAATAACAAGAACAGTAATATTGGTAGAAAAGAAAAAGAATAACCTGCTTAGCTGAGATACTGGAGGAACTGCAGACGGCAAATACAAACATACTTTTGATGAACTGACGCGCTTCTTCCTTGCTTGATGGTTTTTCTCTAACAATTCCTTCGTAAACCGCCACCTCAATACCAATAGATGTAGGTAAGATATAGCCAAAAAGATCTATTCTTCATCCAAGAGAAAAATCATTAGAAGGCTCAAGTATTCTAATTTTGCAATATGCTATTTAACAGTGATATTAAATTAAGATTGTCAAATCATGGAGCAAGTGAGGAGAATCAAATTTCGAATGAATTTAGAGAGCAAAACAAAAGATTAGAAATGAGCTAACGACACAATAAATGTCAATCTAAAATGTCATACAAGATAGGCCAGCTGCTTGCATTATTTGTCTAATAAAAAGAAACTAACAGCAAGCTAATTTCAACACTTTCTCCAAACTTCTCTATGCAACGTTACTAGCTAAAATATTGTACTGCTGTTTTATAATTATAGCTAAATGTGCCTATATCACCAACTAGTTTTGCAATAAATGAAAAACAATCATTTAATGGTTTCTGATAAGCTCTCCATTCAATCAGAGAAATACCTGTGAATATGGGCTTAGTATTAAACTAATCAAGGCTATAGCACTTGAAATATTCTAATGAAGAAAAGTAAACATACTGTATCTGCAGTAATTAACAGAGTGGAATGGGTATTTTCGTCCAACTGATCAGTTGTTTTGAGCCTTGACATAATAGCATCTGCCTAAGAAGAACAGAACCAGTAAGTAAACATAAGATTTGCTCTTTGAGCACTGGAACATGATATAACTGTAATACATATTACTCCCTCCGTCTTGATTTATACGGCACAACTAGAGTGTCATGGAAATGGAAGGAAAGCAAGTGAGTTGATTATAGTGAGACGAACTATCCAGAATCAGCCCATTATCAGCGGAAGAGAAGTACCCATTAATAGATAGTCCCTAACCATCAAATGGAAATTCCATAACATAAATCACTGATGGGCAGAATGATTGGAAGTTAGTCGGAACACAAAAGATGCCAAGGGAATGCCAAAATAATAAATCTCATCCAATCACAAGAATATTGAATTTTGACCTTCTTATTGATATCATGTTCTACACAATTATCAACAGAACTCCTCTAATAACTGCACTAAAATTACTCCTGGCCTTTTTACTTTTATAGGGCGATATGTGTTACTTAGAAGAATAACATACACTACGAAGATCTTTGTTTCATGTTACTTGGACAAAAAAAATTGATTATAGTTTCAAACCTAAATGGTGAACTTCTACCAATTACTTCACCAGTGAAATGAACTCGAAGACAAAAAAAACGTCATCAGGAAACAAGTGGATTTCTTACTTAGTATGAGGGTGTGGAGTAGGGGCATTAGGTGGTGGGAGGAGACAATTAACTTAAATAATCGTTTTTCTAGAAAAAATATTTTTGAGAACATTTTTATCAACCATATAACCAAACACACCGGTAATAGAGAAGAGGTAGTATACCTTTGCCTCTGCTAGAGCTATCACTAATTCCTCTGCATTATCTTTCCTAATGCTCTTTTCATCAATGTCAGCACCCTACTCCAAAAAAAAATTAAAATATAAGTCGCAATACACTAGAAAACTAAGAGCTCGTTTAATTGGAAATAAGTTATCTCATGAGTTAGCTATTGTGGGATAACTTATCCTAGTATGTATTCACTATGATATAAATAGTGGAATAAGTTTATCCATCACCATTCCTTATCTCATCACTATTTTATTTTTAATCTCTCACGCCAAACGAGCCCGAGCAGGTCCAAAACTTAATCTGGACAGACAGTGCAAGTTTTAGCAAAATACAGAATCTTTTAAAACAAAATTGAACGTACCATTACTGTAAATTCATAACCCATGTCCGCTAATATTTTGCGACGTGCCATTGAGGAAGAACCCAAGATTATCTTTAAACATATAGAACCATTAGTGATTTACATGTACATTCAGTATATTAAAGAAAACATTAACTTCCGTTTTAATCCTTAAAAGAAAGATTTGAGATAAAGGAGAACAGTTCATGAGTGGGTGAAAAAGCAAACCTTGAACGACAAGTTCTTCGGAGCCATTTGTTTGGCGCTCTCTTTCTCACCTCTTCTTCAAAGGGCAACGGTTAGCTTTGGAGATAAGCAACTGAGGATTTTATCAACGCTAAGAAAACGAGTGGTTTTTATACGGCGAATAATTGGCTCCGATGCCAAAAAGCAATTTAATTATTAGTATACTTTTCTTTTTAATTTAATTTAAAATTATTAATTATGATACATGTAATATATTTTTTAATTTAAAATTATAAAATTTGTGTGTTTTATAATTTTTAACTATCTATTAGACTAAACTAAAACAAATAAATTGAATTAACGGAAATAATTCATTTTGAGAAGGTTGGTGTATTGTAATATAGAACCTTGCATTTTTATTTGTTCTTCCATTGTAAATTTTCTGAATAAGATAATGCATACTTGAAGTCACTTTTAACAAGAAATGTTTTATTTTTATTTGTAAAAGTTAGTGTTTTGATTTCTCTAAAATTTTCATCAATTTTTACTCTTGAAAAAAGAAAAAGTAAAAGTGAAGATCAATACTCAAATTATGTATTAAAAAAAGTATCTAAGTATTAAATTCATAATCCAGTAAAACGGAAAAATTGATACGATGTTCCACATTATTTTTTGTTTTTGACATCTGGCAGAATCCATTGTGAGGCATAATAATGAATTTAGTGATGCAAAGTCAAATAAAGTTCATTAGCACATCAGAAAATATGGTGAACACAAGTAAATATAATCTATAGTGAAAAAGAGCTTTTTAATCTAGTTACTCCAATGCGTTTCGATTCGTAATATGGAATTATATATCTTATGAAAAACAATACTAAAACTAAAAATATACATAAAGCGGGATGATGCCAGCATAATAAAATATCTTTGTTGATGGACCAAGAATTCAAACATAAGTTAGCGAAATAAGTCCTAGCAAACTAAAAATAATGATTAAACGATTATTTATACTCATTTCATTTTCATCATTAATAGAAGTTTGATCACATCTCGCATTTTTCACTTCCACAGTTGTCATTAAACTTGTAAAATCTCTTTCTCAAAAATATATCACTCTTAACTGTCAATAGGTTAATTGTCTAATTGGTAGGATATATATATATAGATATAGATACCGTAGAAGGAATCCAGAGGCCATAGCTAATTCTATTCGTAGAAGGAATCCTAATTCTTTTTGTAGATTAATCCAATTCTGTTCTTAGATGGACTCTGCTATTAGTATTAATTTATAATTTAAATTAATTAAATAATATTGTGAGTGCTTATATTTTAATTGTCTGATATTGAAAGTTTATAATGCTTATTCTCTTTCTTTATTCATTCAGCCTTTAGCGGAGAAATCAAAAATAATGTTACATATTTAGCAATTAGCAAAATGACATCAATGCTAGAAAGTAGAAACAGAAATAAATCGTTGGTATTTTTGCTAAAAATCATCTATGCCCTCTATATTTTTATTTAACACATGAAATTCTTAATACTTTCTATGGGATTAGATAAGACCTTGTAATCAATATGTTAAGTCAAAAAAAAGTATAACCAAATAATATTTTTATTGGACTAAGTTTTAATTCATTACTGTTTTTATTAATACCCCACCAAACGGGTCCTTAGTAGCTAATTGAGTATTGTTGCACTTTGTATAAGTGAATAGAAAATAGCTCTTCTACACTTCTCCTTATCAAATTTTACTAGTATTTGTCATATTGTTGTACTATCACACCTCAAATTCTTTTCTCATCTTTCGATTAGATAGTCTACTTCACAAAGATATAATAAAATTAAAAAATTGCGTACATCCTACTTTTTTTCAAACGGAATTAAACTAATTATGTTAACTATATGCAATAAGTGACTCAAAATTACACGCATTTAATTATTGGCATATGTTTACTGTTCAAGAATTTTTATTTTATAAAATAAGATTTGACAATACACCGTTTAGTTATTGTGGACTTGCTTAGCTTGCACATGATGCAACAGTCATTGGCCAGGCATCACCTTTGCTTTTGGAAGATGTCACCTCGATCGTCAAGGCCCCAAAATTTAGCAGTCTTGACATCTTCTTGAACCATCAATTTGGAAAATTCTTCATGATCGTAATTCAATGTGGCTTTTCCCCCAAACTCACTTGGAAGATTCTCAGTATCGAAAAAAGTCTTCATCAACTCCACGCTATCTTTGTTATTGGGATACACAAACTTGATCTTCTCAAATGTTTTCGAATCAATAAAATATTTCACTACCTACGTACAGAGAATGAATGATCAAATTGTGATTGACCAAAAGGAACCCGCCTGTAGGAAGAATCTTACCTTCCAAAATGCCTCGAAAAATCTAGGTGGACTATAAAGAACAACTATAGCAAGCCTCTCTGGATAATGATTCTGCAAAATGTAGATAATATCTCTTGCAGTTTTAATGGGAATGTTGGTGTTCAATGACCATCCATTGAAGTCTATCAACCAAGACATTTGTTCTTGGCCTTCTGGCAGGTTAAGGATAGCACTCTCCATCAGATAGACTAGATGACGAATATTACCTTCCGGAGATGATGTATTCTGTCATCCATGAAACAGAACAATTCGGATACTCCAGTCTGTAAACTTCAGATATATAGATTAGATTTTAATTTAAAAAGTAAGAACACTAACCTGTTTCCCAGGCCTCATTATAAGGACGGTTCTGCCAAGTCGGTCTTGAAAATTACCCTTAGAAACTTTGCCAGTTTCACTTTCATGTGCCACTTCATGCTGTGAACATTGTGAGATCATTAATAATTTATCATTGATCTTCCAACATTATACTACCAAGCGATCCAATTCTTTTAGATGGATAACCGCGATCTTGGTTAGTTCATGACAAAGTTGAGAGTACAAAGTGTATATAGATGGAAAAGGTCAAAGAACAATCACCCAACGAATTTCTTCAGGCTTATAGGTGGATCTCCACTTGAGAGTCTCTTCGAGCATTTTTTTTGCCTTGTCAAGGTTCCAATTTCGAGCTTCTAAGTATTGCCTCAGACACACATCGGTACAGAACTTTAAGTTTCGCCCAGAGAGAGGTCCAACAGCCTCTCTTAACTCGCTAACCTGGTTTGCCATAGAAAATTAATCCCTGTTCTATAGTTTTAACTACCAGTTATTGCTCAGTTTAATTGTCCTGACAATTCAATTTGAATGGAACATTTACCCAGTGGTCAATCTAGTTATTATTAAACATTAAATGGATTTTCTAGGGGTAATTGAGACAGATACTTTGTCATGGTGGATTTGATGAAGCAAATCGGAATGTAAGAATATAACTTTGTCTGTTACCTTTGCACCACGGGCTGCAGAATCATCTGCCTGAATTGTGCGAGACGACTTTCTCCGGAACATGATTCCTGTTAATTGAAAAAATGGTGCTAGCAGTTACATGTATATGCGACTCTGCTTCATCACTAAGACTACCACTAGTAAATTTAGAATTCCGGTAAGATAAGCTGGATTATGAAAAAGTAAATAAAGCAAAAGGAAAAGAGATGAGAATGACTTTAAGAAAAAAACGATTACTTTTCTTGGAAAGGAATTAGGAAGATTGCAGAAAGATTTGGGACTTGAAAGATATCATACAAAAGAGAGAAATAAAGAGAGAAACCTGTGATCCCCTCGATCACTCTACATGAACACAATAGAAATTAATTCTTGTGGGAAAAGTATACAACACCACTTGAAGTTGTAGAGATATCACGCAAAGTAGGTGATCATTCACTTGAACAGTTACAAAGAGGGAACAGACGGAAAATGGAATTTTTCACACGCTTGTAGTCTTCTTTTTTGGACCATATAATGTGATAATACCCAACTACGTTTACTATTCAAAGCAAATATGTTCAAGTTTGGATGGAACCTAACAAACGCACTGACGGTATAAACAAATTGGATGGAACCTAACAAACGCACTGACGGTATAAACAAACCACTGACCAACAACTTGGAGAATTCAACAAAATTCAGTTATTTCTCCTATTACTTGCCTTATAGGGTTGGTTCAAGTAGCTCCCCACGCCGTACGTAGCATTTAAAAACTACAAAATTAGGCAACGAATTTACCAATTCTTGGGGTTTCAAGAACACATAATTTGAGTGGTAAAGTTTTCGCCTTTTCTCCTTCAACTACTTGAGATTATAGTGAAAATAATATGCATGCGTTAGTCAACACAATTGACCATAAATATCCTTCAGTTTAAATACTGTATGGACCATAAATATTGAGTTCAAATCCAGTAACACAAGTGGACTCCAACAACCGTCCTCTCTAAAGAAACAATACATCCACGTATCGGCATAAAAATACTGTGCCGGTGTCGATAAAATATAACCAATACAATAACACTATCAGTTGAGACATATCCTTACTAGTAGTATATCATCCGCCCAACACTACAAATCAAGTTCTAATATACGCAAACTAGAGGAACAAATAAACTTATTCCGCCTGTCACTCTACAGAAAATACAATAAGCTTCACGGATCTTATATTCACAATTGGCAAATGCCAAATATCACTTATACACCCTCAACGGCAAATGATCTTTCTCCTCTCTGCAGTCTTTACACAACCTAGTAGTCATTGTTGGATAAACACTTACATTTGGTGGTACTACTGCTATACCCTTGAATCTCCGATGGATTAGATCAATGATCTGTTCTGACTTGCCAGAGTCCGTCTCCATAGAGGAGGAGGAAAGTACAAAATACTGCACCATACTAGGCCTGCGTCTCCTTAACAAGTCAACATCTCAGCAAGCAATTCCACAATCCACAAAGATTCCTTAGGTGTTGGTTTATAATCGTCTGTTGAATTTCGGCAACTACATTACATGCATGCCTAATAAGAAGTGTCTCCTCACTACTTGGAGCTGTACCCACCTCAGCTACTGAAATAATTTCTGTAATAACATCCACTTCCTCTGTTTTCATGAACTTGGAACATATTCAAGTGAATTGCCGTAACATCTCTTGGTTAGATTGATTATCGCCATTTACCACGTTAGCAAATACTAATAGGTATTCACAGACCATCTCGAGAGTTCATTTTGATCTCTCCGGTATACATCCTCTCACCTCATCTTCAATCAAAGTCCTCAAGTTAGTATATTCTCTGATACATCCAAAGATTAGCTTTTGATTTTCTCATTCAACATGCTATATTGGCTGAAAATTCGTAGTCACAAATTTGATCAAACAGGAAGAAGAGAACAAGGTCAACTGAAACAGAAGTAAAATCATTAACCTCAGAAAACTACAAAGCATTTCTGCACTTTTAAGCTTCATGTATCAAAACATACATCCTCTGCCAAAACTAAAGATACATAAACAAATTGTTACAAGTCCAAACAGGACACACTCGAAAATGCCGGATCACTTCACATCATAGAAAGACACCTAAATATCTCAACCGGATATTTACAGGAAAAAGAAAGAAAGCCAGTCAGTGCTAACATGGCAAAGCATATAACCGGAAAAGTGTAACAAAGGGCCTGTGCACCCAAATTCTAAGCTTCAAGGTATGTACATCATGTAACAGCATAATAGCATGAACAGATTGTGTATGTGCAGAGTGTCGATTGAGCAAATAAACGCCAGAGTTGAGTAATGCCAAAGATGACCATAGCCAAAATTTTCTTCCCACTATTATCAAAATTTCTCACTACCACAAAAATTTCTGCATGCATCTTCCGCTCCAAGTTGAATAAGCATTATCCCGCCAGTTCAGTACCATATTTGCAAAGCGATTAAGGTTTGGAATTTAAATGCAAATCTGAGATTTGGTATTTAAATGCAAATCGCTTATCAACTAAATATTTGAAGAACCGCAATTCAGTAGCTCCTTCTGGCCCAACTATGAATGTAATGAAGAGCAACAACCACTCGCGCAAAGAGACTTAATTGACATCAGCAGGCAGAGAACTTATATATTTCAGTTCTCAGTTTCTTATAATTGAATCTTGCAGGACACCAGTTAGGATGCGTCAATATCTAGGAATTCAAGTATCGCAGTGTATGTACAGTAAAAATTTTCTAAATCAAAATTTCGGAAGTGCAGAGTTGGAAACGTTCTCCAACACCACAAATTAGTTCAGTATTTTTGTTCTGCACATGCTTTATCATAAATCAAATCAAGGACAAGCATCCACGAAGCATACCTGAGGTCTATTATTAGGAATCCAAGCAACCATAATTACGAGCCTATTATGCATATCTGAATCCGAGTAGATTTTGTCCACAGATAGTGCACTAGATTTGGAGTTGTTAGCACTGATGAAATCGATGTTCAATCTTGAACGTTCACCTTCATAATCTTCTTCTGCCTTGACTGCACAAACTACCAATACTATATGATAATTGCAAAAAACTAGCTATCTGGGTTTTTTTAGTCTAATTAATTGCAAAGTTCAAATGCTATCTAATTAGCCTGTACCTTACATTTGGGTGGGCGGCAAATTAAGGATAGCTCGTTGAGAGACTGCTGATCTGACGATGCAGAGCATAACGTGCAAACAAGAATCAGAGAAGGCATAAAACACACACACACACCAAGAGGGGAGAGATCCCGGGCCAAAAAAAAAAATCCGTGCTATCTCCCCCTCAAAACCCCGAAAAATCCAATTTATATTAAATATAGGGACCTGCCATGCAAGCGCACCCGACATGGCAAAGGCCAGAGCAGTAACAGGGTAATTTAAAACGGGACATCACCCCTGATATTAGGGCTTTTATGCCCCACCTATACCTCTATACATCTTCATACAACAACAACTTCCTATGGGTATTGCTCTCGACGCTTCTGATTATGACAGGGAAATCCATCCAACAACGCCAAGAATTCAAATTCATCTGGCACCCTAGCCATCTGAGCCAAGATTCCTTGAGATGACGAATCAAGACTCTCCTCTACACAATCTGAGCCAAGATTCCTTGTGAAGACGTATCAAGACTCCTTTCTACGCCATCTCAGCCCTGAGATGACGAATCAAGACTCCTTACTACCAGGGGCGGATCATTCGAGCCATCACGCTGTTCATACCTGATCGACAATACTTTGGGCAAAACGACCCTGCTCCCCAGCAACCTGCTTAAGGAATCCACGTTACTCATCCGGCGGAAAAGAAGGCTAGAATGACTGGAGAAACTATCTAATTACAGGCTATATATAGAGAGATTGTCAACCGACTTATTTGCGAGGCGGCGGATAGAATCCTAGAAGAAAAATATCTAATTGAAGGCTATATGACCGACTCTTCTCTTGAGATGACTAATAATTATTCTATGACACGTGACGTAACCGGCGTGTTCCTATCCGAATTGAGGGCTTAACCACAAGTAACTCTAAGCGCAGCCCACAAAAGCCGTTGCAAGAAGGCCCAATTCATAAATGTTCCTTTCGTTTTAAAAAGATATATATTTGATATAACGTTAATTAAGAATCACAAAATTAATTTTTTTTATTTAGCTTTATTTCAAATCAAACTAGGTTATTTTCTTAAAATAAGGAGTAATGAATATAGTCATTCATGTTGCGGGAAGGAACTTTAAATCATGCAATAGTGGCTAATTTTTTAATTACAAAAGTTCTAATCAGGCTGGAGTTATACAAGTGAGCGGAACTCATAATATAGGACATTCTTTTTTTCTTTTTAAAGAAGACCAAAAAATGGCCAATGGTAGTCATTTCTTCAGTAGCGCAACGAAGGAGGTACTACTTAACTGACATATTCATGTTCAAGTAGTACATATCAGCAAAATTACATCATACCCATATCAGGCTGATACATTGTAAGATCATTAATTTAGAATCAACCATCTTCCAACATTATACCAAGTGACATATACCGGTATATAATGTTGCTCTAGTAACATTTGTGCAGTACTAACCACGACCCCGGAACTACAGTTATTTGCCCTAATAATATCATGATATGTGGGAAGTATTGAATTGCTTGAATTAGTGAACACTTCCATGGTTTTATGCATACACATTACTATCTGAGTTAGCTATAACCATGCATAATTTGGATTTCCAATATCGAGCTTCTAAGAACCGCCTCAGACACACATCAGTAGAGAACTTTAAGCTTCGACTAGATAGAGGTTCAAGAGCCGCCCTCAACTCGCTAACCTGGTCTGATAAGGATAATTAATTCCTCTTCAATAACAATAAGTGGTTTCAACAACTAATCGCTAATTTTATGTGTTCAATAGTCCTGACAATTCATTTTGAGTAGAAGAAGTAGTGTGTTGCGCATTTCCACTTGAACATTACGCGGATTTGTTAAGGGATAATTGAGGCAGAAACATGATCAACATGGATTTCCACTTGAACATTACGCGGATTTGTTAGGGTGAAACTTCTGGTCCCCTCGTTCTCTCTCTATGCACACAGTAACCTAATTCTTTTCAGTAAAAGTAGACAACACCACTCGAAGTTCTAGAGAAATCACTCAAAGAAGGTATTCACTTTTAACAGAACCAACCTGGAAAATGGAATTTTCGTCTTCTTTTTTGGACACTATGATGTCACTATACCCAACTATATTTACTATTCAAAGCAAATATGTACAGATTTGGTTGAAACCTAACAAACACACTGACGTTAATAACAAACTGCAGGCCAACAATTTAGAGTACTTGACAAAATTCAGTTACTTTTCCTATTACTGCCCTATAGGGTTGGTTCAAGTAGCTCCCCGTGCTATAGGTAGCATTTAAAAACTTACAGATTTAGGCAGTGATTTGTTAGGGGTTGCAAGTGATTGGTGTAAAATCACCGCCCTTCAACTGCTTGTTTAAAACTACAGTCAGAATATTATGGCGTCCATGCTTTACTCAACACAAGACCATAACCCAGGTAACTCCAAAGAAGGTCCTCTTTAAAGAAATAACACAGACACGGATCAGCATAGACATATTCTTCAATAAAAGATAACCTACACAACACTGCTGCCAATTAAGACGAGTCCTTACTGCCAAGCACTACAAATCAAGTTTTAATACACGGACACTAGAGGAACAAACAAGTTTGTTCAAGCCTATACTCCACGGAAAATACACAAAGCTTCACGTTCACATATAAAGATTTTAAATTTACAATTGGCATGTAACGCCTTAATAGAAATGATATACGGTTATCTGTACTCCTTTGACTACCCTTAAGCTAGTACTGATCACCTCTAGTATTTCAAAATTTCTGAACACAACAAGGTCCAGAATAAACGCCTCATCCACTCCCTGAATGGATCTCTACAATCTTCAACAATCTAGTAGTCGTCGTTGGATGACATTTACAGCTGGTGGTAATACCGCTGAAATATGGCCACTAATCCTTGACTAATTAGATCAATAATCTATTCTTACTTTGCCAGATTGACCGTTATCCCATCCATCTTTGCAGAAGAGGTGGAAAGTACAAAATACTGCATTATACAGAGCCGATATCCTCTTCACAAGTCATCATCTCAGCAAGCAATTCCATAAGGTTCCTGTAAGCAGTTCCATAAGGTTCCTTGGATGTTGGTACAAAAATATCAGTTGAATCTCGGCACCTACATTACATGGCAGGCCTAATTCGAAGTGTCTGCTCATTCCCTTATCCCTTCATGTAACTGATTGTCATTATTTACCACATAAATACTAATACTATATAGAAATAGGTATACACAGACCATCTCAAGAAGTCACTTTGAAATTTCTGATAAATATTCTCACCTCATCTTCCAATTAGAGACTCCACAAGTTAGGATTTGATAGTTCCAAAGATCTTACTATTGATTATCTGATCCAACATGTCATATTGGCTGAAAAGTATATACAGAAGATTCACAAACTTGATCAAGCTGGTAAAAAATTACATCAACCGTAACAGAAGCAAAAGCATATACCTCAATTGGCTGAAAAATATATACAGAATATTCACAAACTTGATCAAACTGGAAGTATAGAATTACATCAACTTTAACAAAAGCAAACGCATTTACATCAGAAGACCACAAAAGGACTTCTACATTCAAAAGATTCCAAGTTCCAGAATCAAATACTCCGCGAAAACTAAAATTACATAAATAAAAAGCTAAAAATTGCGTACAGAACACACTTACTTGGTCACCTAGATGTCTCACAACTGGATAGTTACAAATTTAACCAACAAAAAAGAGGAAACAGCCGATCAAAATGGTAACATACCGAAGCATGTAACAGATTAGTATACGAAGGGTCTTTGCACCCAAATTCTAAGCTTCAAGACATGTACATTTTAAAAATTCAATAGCATGAACAAACTATGCATGCGTAAAGTGTTTCGAGCACATATTGAGCAAAGCTAAAACCTGACATTACCCTTTCATACCAGTAGTTCTCCCTATCAAGTCTGCATAACATCGGTTTTTTCAAACCTTTCACCACGACCGAACAATAAATAAAACTTGACTGGATTTGCCTATATCATAAAACAGGCCTACAGAAAAGAGTGTCTATACCAAACCACAGCCCAGGGCGTGATACATATCTGATGTACGTCTGCAGCCAACAATAGAACAGAGTATCTCAACCGCAACCTAGCTCGATTTCTCAATTGCATAATCCCACGATCTTTGGGTGAGTTCTCCTCCGCCGATTACATCCACCACAATGAACGCCAGAATTGAGTATGCCTAAAGATTACCGTAGTTAACATAATTCTTTACATCATTAAAATCCCCCCCCCCCCCCAAAATATCACACTACTGCCAAATTTCTACATGAGTTCCGCAACAGTTACATGTTCGAAGTTGAAAAGCAGCATCCCGCCACTTCAGTACCGTATTTGCAAAGCGATCGATATCTAAATGCAAATCTTCACTGCAGATTCTTCTAGTCCAACTTCTAATGAAATGAAGAGTAACAGCCCACTCATACAAAGACTTAATTGACATTAGCAGACACAAACTTAAAACAGTTCTATGTTTTTAATAATCCAATCTTACTGCATGACCCCAGTTAGGATAAGTCGAGGCCGATATCTGGAACTCAAGTCGAAATTTATTGATCGCAGTACATAATTTTTGAATCAAAATTCTGAGAGCATAGAATTAAAAACATTCCACAAAATTGTTTCAGTATTTCTGTTCTGCACATGCTTAATTATAAATCAACTGAAAAGACGAGCGAAGCCTACAATGCGTACCTAAGGTCGTCAATTATTAGGAATCCGAGCAAACCATATTTACGAGCTTGATATGCACCCGAATCCAAATAGCGCATCTAAAGTCCTCCAGGATTTTGCCCAAGCACATTTTTCAGAAACAGATGCTTGGTTTTGTTAGATTTGGAGATGTTCAAAACTCAAAACTTAAAGGTCATATTCATCATCTTCTACGGCGTTAACAGCAGAACCTACCAACAATATATATGATAATACAAATTAAGTGGCTTCCGTTGGCTATCATATAAAAAACCTGTAGTTATCTACGTTTTTTGTCTAATTAATTGCCCAAGTTCAAATTCAAACTAATTAGCCTATACCTGATTTGGGCGGTGGGCGGTGGGCGGCCAATTAAGGATAGTTCGTTGCTGATCTGACGATGAGAGCATAACGTGCAAACAAGAATCAGAAAAGGCACAAACACACACACATCAAGAGGGGAGAGAACCCGGGCCAAAAAGAAAAAAAAACCCGTGCCATCTCCCCCCTCGAAACCCCAAAAAAATCCATTTTATATTAAAGTTAGGGACCTGCCATGCAAGCGCACCCGACATGGCAAAGGCCAGAGCAGTAACAAAGTAATATAAACAGGACATGACCCCCTGATAGTAGGCCTTCTATATCCCGATTATACACCTATATATCTTCATACAACAACATACTCAAATGGATATTGCTCTCCACGCGACAGGGAAATCCATCCAACAACGCCAAGAATTCAAGTTTATCTACACCCTGGCCATCTGAGCCAAGATTCCCTGAGATGACGAATCAAGACTCCTTTCTACGCCATCAGATCCAAGCTTCGCTGAGACGACGAATCAAGACTCCTTTCTACCAGGGGCGGCTCATCCCAACCACCATGCTGTGTATATCTGATCAACATTACTTTGGGCAAACCCTGCTCCTCAGCAACACGATACTTACCTGGAGGAAAAACCATCTCATTAAAGGCTATATACAGAGAGATTGTCAACCGAATTATTTTCGAGGCGGCGGATAGAAGAAAAATATAACCGACTCTTCTCTTTAAAAAAAAAACAAAACAATGAATATACCCTTTT